TAAACAAACATTTTTCTTTACTCTATTCAAAATTAAAACAAGACTGCTCGTATCAGGGTGAAGTCCTGAATGTTCCGACTGCCCATTAAGGTTTATGGAGCAGTAATATCGTTAAAAAATTAAAAGTAATTAAACCAAATGAAATTTTTTTTCTTCAAAAATTTGAAATTATTTCATAAAAATCATCCCCCCACACGCCATAAAAAGTACAAAAGGATAGATTTCGCTACTTGTAACAAATCAATCATGGCAAATAAGCTTCGTTAAACCAATTTGGAACGATTTCTAAGACGGATTAAATCTCCGCTTACGCGTTAATAGCGCGAATTATATCACGCGTTAATTGTCCCAAATTGGTCAAAATGAATGATGTAAAAATCCAGTTTATGGAGCAGCAGTAATTACATTAAAAAAATTAAATGAAATAAAAAAAAGAAAAATTTTTTTCTAATTTTTTTTAATGAAAATCATCCCCCCACACGCCATATAAAGTACAAAAAGATAGATTTCGTTCCTTGTAACAAATCAATTATGGCAAATAAGCTTCGTTCAACCAATTTGGAACGATTTATAAGACGGATTAAATCTCCGCTTACGCGTTAATAGCGCGAATTATATCACGCGTTAATTGTCCCAAATTGGTCAAAATGGCCAAATAACTTTACGAAAAATGATCACAGGTGAAATATCTTTTCAAATTAAAACTCAAGACAACAATACCTTTTGAATGATGTAAAAATCCAGTTTATGGAGCAGCAGTAATTACATTAAAAAAATTAAATGAAATAAAAAAAAGAAAAATTTTTTTCTAATTTTTTTAAATGAAAATCATCCCCCCACACGCCATATAAAGTACAAAAAGATAGATTTCGTTCCTTGTAACAAATCAATTATGGCAAATAAGCTTCGTTCAACCAATTTGGAACGATTTATAAGACGGATTAAATCTCCGCTTACGCGTTAATAGCGCGAATTATATCACGCGTTAATTGTCCCAAATTGGTCAAAATGGCAATCTTTAAGCCCTCATAACTTTACGAAAAATGATCACAGGTAAAATATCGTTTCAATTTTAAGCTCAAGCCAACAATACCTTTTGAATGATGTAAAAAAATTCCGTCAAAAATGGCTAGTTAAAAAGTCGAAATTTGTCTGAAGAAAAAAAAACCCACCCGAGCACAAATATTCCGTTACTTTCGTACCGAAAGTCGGAACGATTATTGTTCCGACTTTCGATACGAAAGTAACAGAATATTTGTGCTCGGGGTGGGTTTTTTTTCTTCAGACAAATTTCGACTTTTTAACTAGCCATTTTTGACGGAATTTTTTTACATCATTCAAAAGGTATTGTTGGCTTGAGCTTAAAATTGAAACGATATTTTACCTGTGATCATTTTTCGTAAAGTTATGAGGGCTTAAAGATTGCCATTTTGACCAATTTGGGACAATTAACGCGCAATATATTTCGCGCTATTAACGCGTGAGCGGAGAGTTAATCCGTCTTAGAAATCGTTCCAAATTGGTTGAACGAAGCTTATTTGCCATAATTGATTTGTTACAAGGAACGAAATCTATCTTTTTGTACTTTATATGGCGTGTGGGGGGATGATTTTCATTTAAAAAAATTAGAAAAAAATTTTTCTTTTTTTTATTTCATTTAATTTTTTTAATGTAATTACTGCTGCTCCATAAACCTTAAAAGGCAGTCGAAACATTCAGGGCTTCGCCCTGATACGAGCAGTCTTGTTACATATAGTTACAAAATTGCAATGCCAATAGTTTTATTCTTATTACTGTCGGTACCATGTGAAACCAAAATTATAACTCTCATTAGAATTGCTCATTTTAAATATGGAAAACTTTCCCAGTTTGAAAAACTTTTAGCGAACAATTGTACCAATGGATTGAGAATTAAGCTATCTTTCTAAAACATTCTTCTCGCGATAGGGCATAATAAATTTTCTCTTAAAAACGTTTTGGTTCAGCATAGACCATAATCACCCTATTTTTCAAAAGAAAACATAGCCTTAGCTATCCCAGCATAAATTATGGCAGGCGACAAATAATCTAGTAAGAATATTCAAGTATCTTTGTATCGGCACCTCTAGTACTTCTCTCTATGCGTTTTCTGTTTTCATTTGCTTGGAATTTATACAAGCCCGGACAAAAGTGGATTAAGATTGTTTTAAATATCAAAAAAGATCAGATTTTTAAAAATGGTTTTGATCAACTTTAGAACGATTTAAATTGGTCTCATTTCGAAGTCGGAAAAAAATCAGATTGAATCAATTATGAAACAATTTAAACTGAGCATACTTCAAAGTGGCAAAACTCTATTTGGCTCAATTATAAATCGACTTCGAGAACTCAATATAAAATTGGAAAAAAATTACGTTGGATTCATATGTTTCTTGTCTTTATGTTTTGCTGTGTTTGAGAGACTCTTATTGATTTTCTTCCGTTTTTTAAAATGAGTTCTAAAGAAAATATTATACTATACTTTTTAACTTATGCTTTTCTGTCAAGTTGTAGTGCTAATTATTGGTTTTAAAAGACGCAAGACTGCTCGTATCAAGGCGAAGCTCTGATTATTTTGAATATTTTTTTGAGTTTTTTTTTAAACATCCTCTACACTCCTCCTATTTTAAGTCCAAAGTGATTTATTTTGCTTATGGTGAAGTATTAAATAGACCAAATAGCTCGCCTAATTCATTTTGGAACAATTTCTAAGTCTGATGAAATATCCGCTCACATATCCAAACATAAAATATATCGCGCGTTAATTGTCTCAAATTGGCCGAATTAGGAATCTTAAAACCCCATTATTTCACGAAGAATAATTACAGGCGAATTATATATTTTTTAAAATTTGAGCTCAGGATGTCAATGTTTTTAGAAAGAAAAGAAAAATTCTTTCAAAAGTTGCTAGTTAAAAGTTCGAAATTTGTCTGGAGGAAAAAAACCAACCCGAGCACAATTATTCCGGCATTTTTTTTGAGAATAGTCAGAATAATCTTAAGATAAAATGTAAATATTGCGCAGGGTAACTAATTGTTTCAAACTGAGTTTATAATTTTTTTTTAAAGTTGATGATTTTAAAAACAGGATGTGAAATACTTAAAATTAGTTTTCATCGGGACACTTAGATTGCAAAATTTTCAGTGGATCCCCTGAAACTAATAGTTTGCGCTGAGCAGTTCTTTCTGAAGTGATTTTAGAGATTTAGCTTGAGTATCGTTTTAATTTTTTGAATTCTGGAGCACAAACCGAATTCAAGGCGCCTAATTTTTTGGCATTTAATTTGATTTAAGTTCATTATCATTCCTAAAATGTACTTGGTTAACCGGTTTGGGTCAATTCAAAATCATCAAAGTAAAATAAAATAAAATTAATTCAAATCCATTTCTACCAGTGTGGATAAGGTACGATCTTTAAAATCATCATTCGATAGTTTGAAACTCGTTTTCAGCCTCCCAGTGTTTATGAATCAATTAATCTTTTTAGCTTTTTCGCTAAAATATTTTCACTTGCTATTCCAGCTTTTGCTTTTAATTTAAGCCAACGCTTTCTTAAATTCATTGTTAGCAGGGGACATATTTTCGAGTTTGATTAAAGAAGTCTGGAAAATTTATTAAAAAGGTTTCCACGTCAATTAGGCCGGTAAAATGAATACGATGAATCCGCTATCCTATAGAAATCTCAGGGTGAGCCCCAACTGCTACCCGGGTCGAGATCCCGCTCAAAAACCGCTCAAGATATGGACGGTTTGAGCGGTTTTTCAGCAAGATTTGAGCGGTTTGAGCGGTTTGGGCGGTTTTTTTTGGAAAAACCGCTCAAACCTTGCTTAAAAAACCGCTCAAAAACCGCTCATTTCTTGCGGTGATTTTGAACGGTTTTTCAAGCAAAATTTGAGCGGTTTTTAAGCGGTTTTGAGCGGTCTTATAAAGAAAACCGATAAAAACCAACAAAAAGGCCTGGAAAAGTAATGTGACCCCGGGTTGACCTCCATAAACCGAAAATGCTTATCTTACAATTTCCATATATGAAAAAACGCTTATCCTAGAACTTTTTTTACAATTTTCTGAGTCTATGAAACAAGGAAATTGTAGGATAAGCATTTTTTCATATATGGAAATTGTAGGATGATCATTTTTGGTCAACCCATGCTAAGATGCAGTTGAAATACTATCTAAAATTTAAAAAAAGTGCTTAACCGTTCTCAAATCAAGCAAGATTTTTTTCAATGTCTTGACCAAAAACAATGTGAGCGACTTTTTTCAAATGCTCGAGCAAAATAACCACTGGAAAATATGTAAGATTTGAGCGGTTTTTTTAGACAATTACGCTCAAAATCTTGCTTCAAAATGAGCGATTTGAGCGGTTTTTTAACGGTTTATCTAGAAAAACCGCTCAAAAACCGCTCAAAAACCGCGCAAGATTTGAACGGTTTTGAGCGGTTTATCAAAAAAAAACGCGCAAGATTTGAGAGGTTTTTGAACGTTTTTTTTTAGATAAACCGCTCAAATCTTGCGCTGTTTTTGAGCGTTTTTTTTTTTAGATAAACCGCTCAAAACCGTTCAAATTTTGCGCGGTTTTTTTAGATAAACAGTTCAAAAACCGCTCAAACCGCTCATTTTGAAGCAAGATTTTGAGCGTAATTGTCTAAAAAAAACCGCTGAAACCGCTCAAATCTTGCTTCAAATTAGGTGAAAAATCTCGACTCGGGTAAAGCGCTTCTTATGGAAATATGGAAAGAATAGTTGAAAGTGCTATGCAATCAGAAACTTTTCACAGAGTCTTACCTTATTTTTTCTTTCGAAAGGTATTTCGCAAAGTAGAAAAATAAAAGTGCATACGAGATTTCCGTAATCAAAATTTTTTTTCGAGTTCCGCAGCTCCAGATTATGACTAGAGTGAGCTAACTGGCTCTTCCGTACGTCACTTTAATAATTTGAGCAAATAATACAATACTGTAACCCATTACTTAATTTATTTTTCAGCCCGAAAAGTATCAAAAACATCAACAGTCACACCAACAAAAACAACGACAATAATAACAACAACAACAACCCTCAGATGCATCAAACGAGTGACGTCAGAGCAATGACAAATAAAAACTGCTCAGAGTTGTGCAAAATTGGCAACTTCACTTTGGAGCGAGAAGATTTCCCGGAGAAGGGTTTGATAGTGGAGCGATTCCAGTGCAAGCGACACGAGGGAACGACCCATTTGTGTGAACGACACATCGACACCCGGCGCGACCCCAGTAGCAGCCCCGAGGCCGAGAGAAAGACTCGGGTGGGGGGACCGACAGGAGGAGGAGGGGGGACGAATAGGCGAAGCTGCAAACGGCAGCAGCTGCAACACTTGCCATTGGAGGACGAGCCGCCGCAGATGAGCAGCAGCGGCAATCAATCAGCCGAACAATATCATCAAAGACAGAGTGGATCACTGCAGCATATGGACATGCGAAGCTACAACAAAAGTCATGATCAATACATCAGCAATAGCTGCACAGCTTCGAGTCGGTCCATGACAGACTATAGCAGTAATGGCCATAAGAACCAGAAGATGCCGAGCAGTAGACACAAACCGACCGCTAGTCATCGCATGTATTACAATTCACCATCTGATTTGGGCATTTTCCATGTATGAAATCAAATAGAATTGTATAGTAGCTACTGTATAATAAACTTGCATAAACTCTTTAACGAATAACAATCAGAAGTGCTATTCAAAAAAAGCAATCTAAAGGGCAACTTGTGGATGTTTTCAATGAAAAATAGGCAAAACAAACGAAAAACAAACGAAAAATGAAAAACAAACAAAATCTTATTTGTTTTTGATATCAATTTCTTTGTTCCAGAAAAAAGTTGTTCTCGCAGTTGTGACCAAAATTAGCCTAGGGCTCTGAAATCAGCTGAAAAATGAAGTGTTTTAGTTGGACAGTTAAAAAGCAATAAAATAACAAAAGTCGAATTTTCAAGCATTATTTTATTAAATTCTGCTTCAAATTGCATTGAAGCTAAAGAAAACAAGACTGCCCGTATAAGACTGCTCGAAACAATAATGACTACAGTTTTGTTGAGCTGTAGAGCTTTTCTTTATCTCTTCTATTTCTGATGGGCTCAATTGCACCGTGAATTAAATTTGGCTCTTTTTCCTCCCCCTATCAGCGAAGTTTTACAAATCAAGTCTTCGATCACAATGTCCGATTGTTATGAAAATTGGCATATTATTAGGCATGATTAATTATAAGCCACGAAAAACATAATTGGTATTCATGCCAATCATTGTAAAGCAATTGTAAATCCATAAAGTTGAAATTAATGCCAGACGGGACGGGGTGCATGAAAAAGGGTCGTAAGTTTAACCACTGTCTTTAATTATGAGTAGAAATATAGACTTAATCAGTGCTATCTATAATCCCAAATATCAAGATAAATGTTCCAAAAAAACAGTTTTTCAAAAAAAACTAGCTGGCTTCTCAATCAAGTTCCTTCAAACGAAGTGTGCTCCACTGAATTGTAGAAGTTTTTTCAGGGGAAGGCAAGTGAAAATATATAGGGCCCAAGGTCCATCAAAAAATTTTTTGTATTTCACACAATTTTGCTAAACGTTTTTTGCTACGAAGGTAATTTTTTCTAAAAAAAATGAACACCCCAAACGGACGTTTCTCCGATTGTTATTTTCTTATATCTGGAGATATTTTTTTTGTAGCGTAATCATAATCGATTTGATTAGATTTTCATCGTTTGTTTCTATAGAATGCAAAAGACAATTGACTATTATCGATTGAAACTGATAATATTACTAATCAGTTTTCTCTAAGCCTATTCAAGCTTTGCAACATTTTTTCAGTATAGTTACCCTTGCGATAGCAAGGGTATTGCAAAGGGGTACCAGACTTTTCCACCCTCATATAACTTTGGTAACTTGGTTATGATTCGAGATCAGAAAAATTTTGGTCTAATACTTGTCTGCTTGTGTTTTATCGGCTTAGTTGCCTCATCTAGGAATCGTTTATTTTAGCTGTAATCAACTTTTACCCCAATTATTTTTAGCATTTCAAAAATCCGGCCGTATCGAAACTTCTTTTTCAATTTGTTAAAATTTCATTTTTTTCCTGTTGTTTTGTCTTTTTATTGGCTTAATAAATGTCGGCTTAGTTCATATCAACATAGTGGTCTCTTATTGCGTCGTTACGTTGAATTTCTTTTTGGCATGAAGGGTTTATGTTAAAGTTTTTTCGGCTTTTCTAACGCTTTGATATCAATACATTCAAATCCAATCAACCGTACGGCGCGTCTGGCGTAAAGGTAAAACAACTGCTGGAGACGGCAAAGCTTTGTGCTTTTACGGATTATTGCATTGAAGCTAAAGAAAACAAGTATGCTCGTATAAGACTGCTCGAAACAATAATGACTACAGTTTTGTTGAGCTGTAGAGCTTTTCTTTATCTCTTCTATTTCTGATGGGTTCAATTGCACCGTGAGTTAAATTTGGCTCTTTTTCCTCCCCCTATCAGCGAAGTTTTACAAATCAAGTCTTCGATCACAATGTCCGATTGTTATGAAAATTGACATATTATTAGGCATGATTAATTATAAGCCACGAAAAACATAATTGGTATTCATGCCAATCATTGTAAAGCAGTTTTAAATCCATAAAGTTGAAATTAATGCCAGACGGGACGGAGTGTATGAAAAAGGGTCGTAAGTTTAACCACTGTCTTTAATTATGAGTAGAAATATAGATTTAATCAGTGCTATCTATAATCCCAAATATCAAGATAAATGTTCCAAAAAAACAGTTTTTCAAAAAAAACTAGCTGGCTTCTCAATCAAGTTCCTTCAAACGAAGTGTGCTCCACTGAATTGTAGAAGTTTTTTCAGGGGAAGGCAAGTGAAAATATATAGGGCCCAAGGTCCATCAAAAATTTTTTTGTATTTCACACAATTTTGCTAAACGTTTTTTGCTACGAAGGTAATTTTTTCTAAAAAAAATGAACACCCCAAACGGACGTTTCTCCGATTGTTATTTTCTTATATCTGGAGATATTTTTTTTGTAGCGTAATCATAATCGATTTGATTAGATTTTCATCGTTTGTTTCTATAGAATGCAAAAGACAATTGACTATTATCGATTGAAACTGATAATATTACTAATCAGTTTTCTCTAAGCCTATTCAAGCTTTGCAACATTTTTTCAGTATAGTTACCCTTGCGATAGCAAGGGTATTGCAAAGGGGTACCAGACTTTTCCACCCTCATATAACTTTGGTAACTTGGTTATGATTCGAGATCAGAAAAATTTTGGTCTAATACTTGTCTGCTTGTGTTTTATCGGCTTAGTTGCCTCATCTAGGAATCGTTTATTTTAGCTGTAATCAACTTTTACCCCAATTATTTTTAGCATTTCAAAAATCCGGCCGTATCGAAACTTCTTTTTCAATTTGTTAAAATTTCATTTTTTTTCCTGTTGTTTTGTCTTTTTATTGGCTTAATAAATGTCGGCTTAGTTCATATCAACATAGTGGTCTCTTATTGCGTCGTTACGTTGAATTTCTTTTTGGCATGAAGGGCTTATGTTAAGGTTTTTTTCGGCTTTTCTAACGCTTTGATATCAATACATTCAAATCCAATCAACCGTACGGCGCGTCTGGCGTAAAGGTAAAACAACTGCTGGAGACGGCAAAGCTTTGTGCTTTTACGGATTATTGGCCGTCTGTTTATTTTTGTCGGCTTAATTCCCGTGGTTCAATGCTTCAGCTATAATTCCAAGTTGATGTAACCCTTATGCTTGAGACGACGAAGACCGGGAGTTCCAATTCAGTTGAATCTTCTTTTTCTTGCAAATAAAAAATCTTGGCTAATTCAGACTGTTGTCGGTCGGAAAAAAATCAAACTAAAAAAAGTATGTTTTTGTCTGCTTAATTCCACAGAAAGGACTTTTTTTGAAAGTTTGGCTTCTGTATAACATTCCCAAAGCTCGTTGTAGAGTTTATAATACTTTAGGCAAATTTTTTTTTTTGGATTTTCTGGGCTTTTGTCTCAATTTCTATTGACAAAAACGATGTTTTGAATTTTTTTTCCGTTTGATTTTCAAAGTCAGTCGTATTTGTATTGCAATAAGTGCAAAGTTCGGCCTCGCCTCTGTGTCAAATATTGAGCAATGCGTTTACAAAGAGACAATAAATTTTTTTAATTGAAATTTATTTCGGCTGCAAAACAGTTTTTTTTTAAATTTTCTATCTTTCTGTTTACGCTGCTTTACTGATAATTCTTTTTGGTATCTATTGTTTACGCTGCTTTACTGATAATTCTTTTCGGTATAAATTTTTTCGGACCTTTTCTAATTCTACCAAGAGCAGTTTTTATTGCTTTTTGTCCTGCATCTGACCTCCCATGTTAAGCAAGCTATGTCAAATTTTCAAAAGTCTTTGGAAAATTGAAAAAGTAATAAATTATGTCGGTTCTATTTCACTTTCCTACCCCCATGTCAATCTTTCAGTTTTTTTTCAATTGTCTTAATTCTTTATGCCTGATTGCGTGATGTTACCAAGCAAGTATGAAGAACCAATGGACTCACGGAAAATTGAATTCATTCAACATGCAAAGCTTCATTGCATTATGACAACGTAAAATTACTCTTTCGAAACTGATTCGAAAGTAGTTCAACCTTAATTTAGCGTTAAAATCTATGATTGAACTGAAAATTGAACTGATTCGATGTAATAATTCGAAAAAAGTTGGAATAGAAAATTGAAATGAGACCAGAAAAATTGTCAAATAATGTCAATTTTGTATATATATGAGTTGAAATGCAAACCCTCCGAATGCAAAATCCTCAGTGTTTCAATAAAGTACCTGGGAATAATGGTGGATAAGCATGGCATGAGGCCGGATCCCGATGCGGTGGAGGCCGTGTTAACATGGAAGGTCCCCAGAACAGACGCACAGTTGATAAGCTTTTTAGAATTTGCGAATTACTACAGTGAAGCCGTGAAGGGATCTGAAGATGAAGTCATTCCAATGTAGCAGCTGATGCGAAACAAAAGAAAGAAATTCGAGTGGAATAAAAATACTCAAGCAGCCTTCGAGAACATTAAGGGAGAGCTGTGTGAGGCACTAGTACTAAGCATGCCTACAGAGAAGGGCATGTACGTTCTCGACACCGATGCTTCAGTAGTTACCGTCTCTGAAAAACTGCATCAAAAACATTCCCCGTCCATTGCATATAGCTGTAAAGTACTAAGTGATACGGAGATGAATTATCGCGCGCCAAAAGTAGAAATTATTGGGTAGCCATTTTCTTTGTGAATTATCGCTCCTCTTTAGGAAGCACTTCCTTCAAGCTGCGAGTAGACAACCGAGCCCTTTTTTGGTTGAAGACAGACTTAAACAATCAGAGTTTTTTAGTTCGTTTGATAGTGTGAGTGGATTTTTATCATATGATACTCGAACATAGGATGGGTGACAAGCACCAGAATGCAGCCGGTCTTAGCAAGAAGACGGAGTTTATGAGAGATTGGAACAGAAGCAAGCCAATCAGGCAGACATAAGAAACGGTTCTCGTTTTAAGACAGGGATACCTTTGTGGCACTTCATTTGACAAAGTGGCTCTACAGATCAGGACACCCTGAATTACCGGTAGAAAAGGCAGCCGAGATAACGATCCTGTCCAAGATAGATCCTGAGCCTGTGAATTTGTTACTACGTTTGGTCCTAGTTCTGCAGGAGCTGACTCGCACGAACATAAACAGCCTCTCATTGCTGGACAAAACAAACGAAGTCTCGCCAGAAGTGATGCAGACACAGAGTGGGTTGTGGGAAAGAGAAGTGAGCAGAGATGACCCCGGCAGCGATGAAATTGTTATTATTTAGCAAGAAGATTCGCATAAAATAATCGTCAAAACGTCGGCATACAGCAGTCATACGAGCAAAAACAAAAAAAAACCGACGCGTCTTGTAGTTTTTAAACGAAATAGCCTCAGACCTCAGGGAGACTTGCGTTTTACATCCTGAATTATCACGTTGGTCTCCCTGAGGTCTGAGGTTGTTTCGTTTAACCACTCCAAGACGCGCAGGTTTTTTGTTATTTTTGCTCGTATGACTCCTTAGCATTAAGTATATCAAGATTGACAAACGTGATTCTTCCTGGGAAGCCTAGGAAGGACCATTGTTCT